ATTGTGTGCTTAATTTAGCCGGGGCCCACCTGATTGCAGCGAGCGGTTTGAAATATCAAATTAATTGTGTATCGAATTAAATATGCAAAGAAAATAAAATAAAGTATTTTCAGGTTTGATTTTTCTATGGATGTCTATGAACGCGTGTGAGTTCGTAATCGGTTAATTGGAATTATGATGAGAATCGGAAAAGTAGTAAAAATATATCATCAGGGTATTACTAATTACTGTCTATTTTATATTAAATAGTTAAGTATAGTAAATGATTTGTCTACATAAAATAGTTAAAGGAAGTGCTAACACAGGGTGTCACACCGGGAACCGCCGCGATCGATTCTGGCAAACTGTAATTAGGGGGAATCTCAAAATTGGACAGTCTGCCAAGTCATTGGGGGCAAACGGTCTAAAATTCTTTCAAGATGGCCGGTATAACCGGAAGTAGGTATCAACTTGATTATTTTAAATGGAACACCCTATATATTCTTACATTTTTAAATTGCACTCCAAATTCTAAATATATTTCATGTATAATCTCCTATACCTAAGTCTAACCGTTTTAAATATATTTGAAATTTTATGTAAAAAATGGCAGTTGCAGCCAGGGACCCGCACCGGAACCGATATGGACACAAAACCGGAACGGTACCGTTTTTTTTTTGAACCGCAACCGTAACTGAACTCATATTTGATATTAACACACTGTTAGGTGCTGAACCGGAACCGAAATATTTTACTTCGGTCTTTTTTCGGTTCTGCTTGAAACATTTGAAAGAAATTACTGTACATTTTACAAGCAAATGAAAATAATCATTTATCCTATAGTTCTTGGAATCGTTTTAATAGTCGGCGCAGCGACGCCGGCAAAGGAAGGATAACTTGAGTACCTAATATCCTACCGATTAATTGCCACTTCACTGCGCAATTTGGAAATGAAAAAGTTGGCATCCTCGACATTTACAAAACAAAAATAACTCTATACGGTTACAATATATGCGCTTACTGATGCCTACAATTATGGGTCGAAAAATAACAAATGTTGCTCACGGGCAGTTTGACTTTATTAAAATAGAAGATAAATCTGTTTGCAAATAGTGTCAATAAAGGTAGATAATTGGAAAATGGACGATAGAGAAGTTATGCTATTATTGACCATTTTTGCTAGAAGGACATTCAACTTGGGAACTTTAATATATTTGACAACAGCCCAACATATCAAATTTTTAAAATAACTGATTTAAATGTTATGAAATAGTCCACAATTTTGCTTGAAAATTTTAAATTTAGTTTAAATTTAACAACAGAAGTAGTCTTTTTTTACTAATAGCGATTGAAACAATCCTAAAGACAAAACTACTAAAGAATCGGAATTTAAAAAAATGAACTGAATGTTATTGCTCTTCTGAATGTAGAAATTTTACTTAAACAAATATTGTCGAAATTAATTCGTAGTATTTAAATGAATAAATAGCTACTACAGAATTTATTTCCGATAAATGTAATATAGAAAAAGATTTTACTTAATTAGCATTTAAGAATAAAGCAACTAAATTTTGAAATAGAACTAGAAGACTTACTATTAATTAGAGAACTTCCTAATATAGTAAGTAAACCCGAATAATATATAAACAGGTTTACTATAGCCGAAATTCACTATAAAACATGCTTTTCCACACTATGTGTTACTAAATCTAATTTTAAATTATTTATTAATCCCCATGCAGGTATTTGAATAAAAGAAATAAAATTTATTAATAAAACAAATAGAAAATGGACCCAATCTTGTGATATACCAAATAATCAGATATTTTATTAAGCACATGTCTAGTGCAAACGCTGAAGCTTTAGTAATTATTCGTTCATTTTAATCTATAAAAAATAAAAACAATTATATTTTAGACCCGATCTTACGTGGTAAACCGGGCAAAACCTCGAAACATTCACTGTAAGCAAGTTATTAAAAATTTCGATATATAAACTAGATTCATTTTACCCAAAAAATCAGAGTAGTTTTATCGGACAAAATCTTTTTTCCTTATAGGAAAAATTAACCCTAAGCCGGCTCACTACACAACTCCACGGTATTTAGTTACCACAACATTTACATAGTTTAAATATACGTCCACCACACTATATAAATTACTGCTGTTAAAATCACAATTAATTCATTACAAAAAAAATAAGTATTCTCACCCATTGTAACTGTACGAAAAAAAGATATATTCAACGGGAAGGAAAAATAACTGTAGAAAAAACTCAGAAAACAAAAATTCTTTGCAATATATTCATTTTTGAAGACACTGTTTACTCATTAAACAACATTCCGTAAGCACCCAGAGCAAGAGCCAAATCTGCTTGCTCCCAGAAGCGATGGTAGGTGATGGTGGGGGCTGGTCCACCGTTCAAATAAGACTCCAGCTGGCTCCAGTTGGGATCGTTCTTGTACCATGAACGAATACTAATGAAGGTTGACGAAGAGTTTATGTAATCTCCATTGGGGTAAGCTCCGGACCATCCAGATATCGGGATATATACCTGTA